TTTTCGTTACTGAAATGTTTAAATTGTGAGCACATAGTAACAGTACATCATGTTTATTACACATAATTGTAAAACAATTGACAAAGAGAAGAAGGGGTACCCCCTAATGAACTTTAACCTTTCACTTCTTCAAATGAACACTAATTACTTTTGCAAAAAATGGGAATGTCATGTTAAAGATAAGTAGTTTTACAAGCATGTTGAATCCATAGGGGCTTGTCTTCTGGATTGTCAAATGTAAAATAAATTAATAAAATTTTAAATCTACTTTAAATACACTTAAAAGTTGTTTAAATAAAGATTTTGACACTTTCAATCCAGAAAAACCACGTTTAAAAAAGACCTACCACACCTATATACATAAACTCTACAAGGAACTCTAAAGCATTAATTTATTTCGTTGTCATGGTTCTGTCCCCTACAGTGATGTTTTCTGTTGATTGAACGCGTGTTGACGACTGACAAACGCATCAACATTTAGGAAAATCATCACTGTAAGGGACAGAACCACGACAACGGAATAAAATAATGTTTTAGAGTCCAGAAATAGGCGCTGAAGTTGGTGGCGGTATCTTTTCCAAGATGAGAGCTTTCGTCCCTTGTAGAGTTTACTGATGTATATACATGTAGGTGTGGTGCGTCTTTTTTAAACGTGGTTTTTCTGGACTGAAAGTGTTAAAATCTTTATTTTAACAACCTTTAAGTGTATTTAAAGTAGATTCAAAAATGTATTAATTTATTTTCCATTTGACAATCCGGAAGACAAACCCCTATAGTCTAATCTCTTTACCTTGAAGACGACAGGAAAAGAATTCATGTAAAGCCTTGAAAATATTTTTAAAAATATAATGAATTAGAGAAATGGAAGCATGCAGTTCTTGATTGCAAAGATCTGCCTAAACTCCAAGAATGCATGTTTAGATACGTCAGTAAAGCAAAGAACGAGGTATCATATACGATATTAATATTTTCATAAATTTTAATTTGATAACGCAACTTACCTCATATTCAATATATATTTAAGTATCTTTAAAACTTCCTTGTTGGTAAAACTTTTTTAGACACTTGCTGTCACATACGGAAACAAACCAGTGTTTTCTATTGTTGATGCAAACTCTTAATTTTTTGTGTAAGAAATTTTTAAATGAAAATAGCAATGGCCCGTCATTTGAACAAAACTTGAATCCCCCTCTCTGCTTAGTTTGGTTTTATTGTAAATGCTCACATTTATAGCAGTTTAGCGCCCATAAAATGTTCTCTTTACACCATTACATCATTTCCCAAGGAACAATACGATGATGCAAAAAAAAAAAACAAACAAGATGCGTTTGTGAAACACTAATGCCCCCGTATGACAACTTATAGCGAAGGTTAAACTTTCTCAAATGCAAATCAAATATGTTGATACCCAAAGTAAGGTCTTGTACCGAGAAATATACCTGTGAAATATGAAAGCCCTAGCAGCAACCATTGAAAAGATATGGAAAAGGTTAACGTTTTTCAAAAGTAAGTCAAACACCAAGGTCAGGGTCATAATAAATGGAACCCAAGGAAAGGCCTTCTCACAAGAAATATACATGTGAAATATGAAAGCCCTAGCACCAATCGTTCTAAAGAAATGGCCAAGGTTAAAGTTTTCCAAATGTAGGTCAAACTCCAAGGTCAAAAGGTATAAGTTGTTGGTATCCAGAGAAGGTCTTGCCACAAGGATTACACATGTAAAGTATGAAAGCCCTAGCATCAACCGTTCAAAAGTTATAGCCAATGTTAAAGTTTTTCAAAATAGGTCAAACTCCGAGGTCAAGGTCAAAGGGTCAAAGGTGTTGGTATCCAAACGAAGGTCTTGTCACAAGGATTGCACATGTGAAGTATGAAAGCCCTAGCGCCAACCGTTCAAACTGTTTATGGCCAACGTTAAAGTTGGAAAAAAATTGTGAAACTGAATCAAACTCCAAGGTCAAAGTCAAATACGATGGTACCCAAAGAAAGGTCTTGTTACAAGTAATACACATGTGAAATATGAAAGCCAAAGCTCCAACCAATCAAAAATTATGAGTGATGTTAAAGTTTTTGCGGACAAACAGACGAACAGACAGCTAGACAAACAGACAGACGGACGGACGGGCAAAGCCTATATACCCCTCGAATCTTCGATACGGGAGCATAAAAACAGCAGTATGCTAGCAATAAACATCAACACAACTTTTCATATCCAACCGTAAACAATAGGCCCAGGGGCCACAACGCTTACCTGAATAACTCTAGCCTTTCCGTTCTTCATCAGCAGATTATTTCCCCTATAACTTCCCATGTAAAACTTAAACCTGTTTTCCAGTAGTGCTGTCATAAGTGGGGAGCAAATAGACGGTGGTATGTATTGAAGCTCCCTCTATTGACAGCTACTTAAAGCTATGACCCATACCTTAATTCATGATGTATATTATATTAATATATTTTGTTGAAAATACATTTAAAAAAAGAAAAAGACAGAAAGAGAGAAAACTTAGATCACATATGTTGTTGCCCAACACTACCCAAGGAGGTCATGATTTAAGGAAAATTCATGAATCTACAATGTCAGGCGATGCCTCTGTATTGGATATATGCCAAACATAGTTCTGTATGAAAAAAATATCAGACAGTTTTTGGCCAGTAAGGGCCCAAAACTGTCTGGTATTTTTTCATACAAATTTGTAGAAACAGTTCTGTATGAAACAAAATATCAGACAGTTTAAGGCCCGTTAGGGCCAAAAACTGTCTGATATTTTTTCATACGGAATTGTAGAATTTATGAGGCATATACCGTACTTAAAACGTTGCTTTTTGGTTTACCTGAGACAGTCCGATAGTATGACAAAAGACATAAATGTTAATAAATCACTGAGGCAATTCTTTCAAAAATGCAGGCTTAAATGAAAAGAACTCAGTATTAAGGGAATCAGCTACACTGTAGTAGGTTTTTGAAGTAATTTGATACGGATAGTGGGGACACAATTTTTTTCCTTAAAATATACATGGAGATTAAAGCAATGCATTAGATTATGATAGACAGTTTAGTGAATGAAGTTTTTGGAATGGAAGAAGAAATTGCAGAAACTTTGATTTGAACTAAACAACCACAGAAAGTAAAGCAGATGCTGAAGGAAAATTAGGCCATTCCAGGTTTTTTATGTTTAGCGTCCGCATATGACTTGGTTTTTGACACCCAGAAGCAGAAAAAACACACATGATAATCAGCAAAGATTTCTTCCTATAAACTCCCTTGTAAATTTCTGTTCCGCTTTTGTAGCCTCGGTCTATTCCCAAGGGCCCTTATCTGAACACACTTGAATCTAAAATACTTTAAGATGCTCACATATTAATATGACTAATAATTGCTTTGGTGTTCATAAGAGGACGAATTTTACACTTTCAAAGACATTTCATATATATATATAATCATCTGTAAAACTTTGATCTCCATTTGTGGCTCAGACTTGCACCAGGGAGACATAATGTGAACACATTTGAATCTATACTACCTATGAATATGACTAACCATGGCTTTGCTGTTCTTCTGAGAAAGATTTTAAAAGAGTTTTCCCTATTTTTGATATAGTAATGTGATCCCACCCTTCATAAGGGGTCATGATTTGAACAAAATTCTATCTACACTATCCACCGATGCTTAAATATCAATATGACTAATCATGGCTTGGCTATTCTTGATTAAAAAAGATTTTCAAATTTTTTCCCTATGTATTCCTTTGTAAAACTTTAAGATCCTCTCGTGACCCCGCCCTGCCCCCGAAGGTCATAATTTGAACCTAATTGTAGATTCAATAAAATAATCATGCTTGATCTGACGTGACTACCTGACGAGCCTTCCATATTAATATACCTAATAATGGCTTTGCTGTTCTTGAGAGATTTTTAAAGATTATTTTTAAAATTTATTCGTATGTAAATCTTTGTTCCCCTATTTTCGTCCGCCCTACCCCCAGATGCCATGATTTGAACAAACTTTAATCTATCCGAGGATGCTTCCATATAAAAATGACAACATGGTTTTTCTATTCTCGAGAAGACTTTAAAAGATTGAAACTTTAATCTACACTATGTAATGAAGCTTTCTCAGGAATTTCAATTTTTCTCTCTCTGCTCTTTATTTGAACAAACTTGAATCCTCTTTTCCCAAGATTACTTTTAACAAAATTGGCTGAAATTGACCCAGTGGATTCTGGAAAAGAAGTTAAAATTTTGAAAAGTTTACAGACGACAGGCAGCCAGATGGATGGACACACGGACGCGCAACTCTTCAATCAGAAAAATTTATTTGAGCCTTTGTCTGGTTAGCTAAACACTAGGATCAGCACACACACTCCCTTAGTTATGCTTAAGAGAGAGGTTATAAAAATATTGTAAATTTTGATGAAACAAGTACCTCTTTATATGCTCCTGGTCTTTTTTCAATACATGCAAAATTTAAATATATTTAATTAAGGACAACTGATATAAAGAAGTTAAGTTGGGTTTTCTAAATTTTCCATTTTCAACTTTCAAGAAAATTTTAACAGAATCACATGTTTATAAATAATTTTAGTGATTGAAATTTTAAAAAAAATAAATAACCATTCCAAGTAGATATTCCAAACAAAATACATTATTTTTTAGAATATCGTTAAAAAAGTAATGAAAGGTTAGTGTGTTGTCGGGGCGGACCTGAGTATCCTTCAAATATATAGAATAATAATTTCTGTAATATAGCTAAAAAAAAAAATCTAAAAAGCAAAGAAGGAAGTGTTAAGAGAGAAAAAAAATCATTTAAAAATAAAAAAAAGAAAGCCAAATATTTTTTCAAGTAACCAGAAATCCAGAAAGTAAGAATGATTGATTGATAATAGGCGGTATTACGTCCCATTGGAAACTTTTTCAGCTCATATAGGAATGTCCAGAAAGTAAGAAAATAAGCACAAATCATTCTTGGTAATAACCTTTTAAGCTCAAATGGATTCATACCCTGTTTAGAATACTTTGACCCTTTATTCAGAGTCGTACAAGTCATCTCTTCGACAAATATTTGATCTGTTTTAAAATGAGTGGTATATCTGGAATGACAATAATTCCAATGACAGTCACTATCACTATGGCCCCAAAGCTTCCAATAGTCTGAGATGAGGCCCGGGGATCACTTGCCGAAATCTTCTTCCGGGCGTTTGAGGAAAGTTTCTTTTTATTGAGGATCAGCTCGTTTTTCACTTGTTGTATCCAGGCTTGAAGTTCGGCGTCTGTGTAGTTGGTAAAAGAACAGAGACAGCTGCAATTTGGAGCTAATGTCGTCGTTGGAAAATCGTAGTTATATGTGCCTATTGAAAAGAAAGAATGATGTTTTCACTATTTTTTCATATGTCATATGAAAGATGATTTTAAAAAGAATAACGAAGAACACAATGAAACAGTTTTAAAATGTCAATTTTGTCGTATTCTTTAATACATTGCATTCTTCCACTTACATCCTAGGTTATTCTCAGTGAAGTTTATGGAAGTTACAAAGGATGATCCGTTGTTTATAATAACTGTCAGAAAAGAAATATCATTTACTTAAATATATGTTACAACATATCCATTATGCAAAAATATACTATAAAAAAAACTATATAGTTTATCATAGATCTAGCAAAATCAACGTTTTTCTCCAATAATCACTAGTGTAATTTTCGATAGGGAGGTAGCCAGACTTTCAAGAGAAACAATTAACTAGTAAAATCAAATGAAATACTTTAAGAATCACTCATGAAGTGAACATATTTTATTGTTTTTATGTTGTCTACTGTTTTATTCATTGTTTTAACCTATATATCAATGTCGATTTTTTAATATTTTCAGTATCATCCATCTCATAAGATACAAATTTCGTGTATATTCACAGTAGAATCTTGGAAGTGTATATTATGTAATTATTTGATACGAAATGTTATTTATGGAATTTTCAGAAATGCAAAGACTATAAAATAGTCAAGTACACCTTCATCGCTTTGATTTAATCCCTTGACAAACACTGTGTAATTATCAGGCGCTGGAATCAAGTTAACCTGAACACTCATATTAACATGGAAATACTGTTTGAAATTGATCATGGCACCGGTACATTCGAAGTCTGTTTCGTTGATCTGAACAACTTCAACGGCGATACAAACACGTGCTTTCCTGAGGCACTGTTCTTCACAGTCGAGTGGAGTACTCATGTTAGTAAATACGTTAAAACTAACACTTTCATCCGTGATGTTTTTGTCTATTTGCATTCCTATATATGTTTCGTTTCCCGTGCTTTCTGGAAATAAAAAAATAAACAGGAAAAGGTTTATGCACACTGAATAAATATAAATTCACTCTGACTATGAAAAAGATACGAAAAATTAAAAATACAAGCTTCATATGTATAGCATATTTTAAATCAAGAATGTTTTAAATTGTTTAATTGCTTTATCTAAGCGTTACTCATAATAAAAAGCTGGTGCATTTATCCAAAAATGATTTTTAAATATACCTTTATAAAGTATACTAAGTTTAATTACTATGCCACAAAAGTTTATTAAGTAATGAAAGCTATCTTTGAGAAATTCATTTTTGTTTACTTTTTCGTGAAGAAACGACATAAATTCTCGAGAAAGTTTTCTTATTTATTGAATTGTACGTCTCTCTCACCTATATTGTGTCCCTTGTGACAAAGAAATGGAAGCTTCGTTGAACAATTAACAGGCTCCCATATGTATTGACTCAATGGGTCCATGATAATTTTAGCACATCTCTCAGTTGGAGACTCTGTTAATGAGACGCCATCATTTCTTCTGTAAACGGTACATCTACTGACGTCATACCATTTATAGGTGGCGTCATAGGGGTAGTAAAGAGGAAAAACTAAGGGCTTACTCTCAGGCCTGTAGAATATACAATATAGATTATTTATTTCAATATCACCAGTGTGTTATCCCCTCATAAAGAAAGTTGGAGGGGATATAGCAATGCGCTAGTAAGTGTATGAGTGAGCGAATTCGTTAGTTCTTGCGTAAATTTACATCCAGTTTAATGTCATTTGCTGTATTGCGAGAGGATTCTTCGTATTGCGGTGCCCTTGTTTAAATATATTATCTTAATCTTAAGGCGAACTTGGAGGTCCATGTGTTTAGTGTTTTTATCTGTGTGTTCTATTGTAAGATGTCTGTCTACTGTCGTTAGCATTTAAACATTATAAGCTCTTACTATGGAATCCTTGGTGAATTACAACGGAACTAGCTTAACATCGATTTTGGGTTAAATATGAAAACTCCAAAAAAAAATTTTAGAAAATAAGAAAGCATGAAATTTTGCCAAAATCAGTAACATCAAAGCATATTACTTTCAACACTTTGTACAACCATTCCCCAAAATGATCTTTGACATCATGATCATAGACAACTGATTCTTCAATAAAAATGGAACTCACAATTTTTTGTCATTGCTGATCTACTTTGTTTAAAAACATTCTGATTCTACACACTAGCACTCTGACGTTGATATTAAAAATATTCTTGGGCTCCTCATTTACAAAAACTTGGCTGTTTGATATTATGAACAACTGCTTCTTCAATAAAAATGGAACTCATGCACCCGGTGAAACGTAAACGTTAACAATAACAGAGCTCGTGTCCTGTTTACAATGGGAAAAAGGCAAAGCAAGATAAGAATCCTAAAATAGTCTTTAAAAACATCTGAAGAACAAAAGGACTACAGTTTGTCAAATTAATATGGAAGCAGTATATTCACAGTTTAGGCTTTGCGTAGAATAAAACAGTTTCCTGGGTAAAGGGGATTCTAAATTGTTAAAATAAAGGGTCACTCCCCTCTCCCGCTTCAAAGGGGAGATAATCAAGAAACGGCACAAATAGGGTGGGTCATTAAAAAAAATCTTCTTCTTAAGAACTACCAGGCAAGAAAAGTTGAAACTTAGGTCGAAGCTTTTAGAAGTAGTGTAGATTCTAAATTGTTCAAATCATGGCCCCTGGGGGTAGGGAGGGGCCACAATAGGGGATCAAAGTTTTTTTTACATTTAAATATATAGGAAAAAAGCTGAAACCTATATGGAAGTTTCCTAAGGTAGTAGATTCTAAATCGTTGAGGTCATGGCCCCCGGGGGGAGGGTGGGGCCACATTAGAGAATCAAAGTTTGAAATAAATATGAAAAATCTTTAAAATTCTTCTTCTCAAGAACCATTTGGCCAGAAAGGCTGAAACTAATGTGGAAGCTTTCTAAGGTAGTGTAGATCCTAAATTGTTCAAAACATGTCCCCTGGGGATAAGGTGGGGTCACGATAGGGGATTAAAATTTAACATTGAAATATACAGGAAAAATCTTTTAAAATCTTCTTCTCAAGAACCATTGCACCAGAAAAAGTGAAACTTGCATAGAAGCTTCCTAAGGTAGTGTAGATTCTAAATTGTTCAAATCATGTCCTCTGGGAATAGGGTGGGGCCAAGATACGGTATCAAAATTTAACATTGAAATGTATAGGAAAAATCTACTTCTCAAGAACCATTGTGCTAGAAAAACTGAAACTTTGGAAGCTTCATAAGATAGTGTAGATTTGAAATTGTTCTGATCATGGCCCCCGGGGGTAGGGTGGAGCCACAATAGGGATTATATAGGGGAAAATTTTAAAATTCTTTTTCTCAAAAACAGCAAAAGCCATGGTGAATCATATTAATGTGGAAGCATCTTCTGGTGGTGTAGATCTTTGATTCATTTTGTTCAAATTACTGCCTCTGCGTAAATGGTGGGCTACAAAAGGCAATCAAAACTTTACACAGGAATACATGTATATTGATAAAAAAAAAACCTGATGCAGAACAGCAGGGACAAAGTGACTCAAGTGAGCTTTGTGGCCCATGGGCCTTTTGTTTTAACTTTAGTATCATCTTCAAAAAGAAAATACTTAGTACTACTCATGTCGTCCATAGTTTTGTTATTTTACACAATTTTACAATGTTAAAAAATGAGAGAAACATCACTGCATGTAATTTAGTATTACATGAAGTGATGTTTCTCTCAGTTTTTCTAACATTATGAAATTGTGAAACAAATTCTTATCAGTTTCAACATGCATATTTAAAATGTTGAAATCTTGCCGGACTACTAGCAACTTAAGACTACTTAGTTACATGTATACTGACTTAAATAATATTTCTTTTTTAAAATGATTTTATCTCCTCATGCAAAAAAAAAAAATGGAGAAAATCAGGCAAATCACGGGAGGGGCTTTCGGACATACCTTTCCAATCTGTAAACAACCTTTTGAGAAATCTTACAGACGGTCAGAAGTGCAAAGAAACAGTTACAAGAAAACAATCTCCTGTTAACTTCATTGATGGGTTTAAAAATTAAGACATATTTAAGAGTGTAAAGGTTTTTTGAAAGATTGATTGATTGATTGTATGTTGTTTAACGTCCCATTCGACAATTAATTTTTTACTCATATAGAGACGTCACCGTATGCTGGTGAAGGGCTTCAAAGTTAGACCTATACTCGGCACTCAGGGCCATTGAACAGTGAGTGTTCTTTATCCTGCCAACGCCTACCGTGACACGGGACCTCGTTTTTAAGGTCTCATCCGAAAGACCCGTGACTATCACTTTTAGTACCGGGCGCTTGGCGAAGGAACAGTCACTACCTTTGTTTACGTCGTAGTTTTGACGCAGAGAATCGAGCTCACGAAGAGAGCGCCCTAGCACTAGACGTTTTTTGAAAAAAGAATCATTGTAATGCCTGGTTATTGCCTACATTCTAATCATCGATTACTTAACACCACTGTAGACGGTTTTTTTTAAAATGATTGCGCCCATGGGAAAAGGGCCCTTATGGCAATTTTTACACATTTTAAGTTTTTCATGGATATTAATAGAGCAAATTTAGAAGTTGCCAAATCTGAATTTTTATGGCCCTACGTCAACTCTAAGTAGGTTTTTTCTTCATTTATATCAACGATACTTTAACAGGTAAACAATGACGTCATGTTACTTTCGCACCAACGTCAAAAGTTTTCAGAGTGAACATGACTTTCACTTTGCATTGTAATGTTTCTACGGTAATAAATGTATGTTACTGAGCATTTCCAGAAACATTTTTGAGTCATTGTCTCTTTTAATAGTTGTATAATATGATAATAAGTAGTTGTATTAACTACATTTATTATCCATCATGCAGTGGTGTATAGAATTATGAGTGTTCGTTTGTTTGTTTTACATTTCACTATGCTGGAATGTCAGGAAAACCCGAGAAGCAAGCGGCTTCTGTTTAATATCAATTTATTCTCTCAAAACCTAAGTATTTATCTCGTGTAATACATGTAATCGTTTGAGAAACCTGTAGCATTCATTCGAAAATCATCTCATTTTAAGCATGGCTCTCGATAGGACAATATGTCTTTTTTCCCCCTTTTTTTTTGGGGGGGGGGGGGGGGTTGAATCCAGTATAAACGATATCTCTTTCAAAATGTGAAGTTAAAAAATATTTCAAAAAAAATTCTCGGGAACAACAATAAAATAGATGGTGCTGGGTAGTGAATTTTTTTCCCCCTAAATATAATTAGACAGAAAATTTGTGAAATGTAGTGAGTTACCGTATATGCTTACAACAATTTAAGGACATTAAGTTGATACATTGCATGTTATTCAATATTCGTTAAAAAAAAATTTCAAACAAAAAATCAGAAGGACCTCTGCCCGCATGTGGTAACAAAACTTCTTTTTTTTTTAAATTGAAATGATACGCATTTTTTCAGTCACAGCAAGGAAAATTTTTGAATAATTAATTTTAAGTAAGCAGGTTGATAAATTATAAACAAATGGATGAATTATAATTCACATGCATTTAAAATGAAAGGAACAGATCCAGGATGACCAGTGGTTGGATTGTGGGGAGGGGGGGGGGTGTTAAAAGTTAAATGACAGAAACATGCAATACATGTACTTGTAGTTAACATGAGTTTAATAGCATACGAGGGTTGTCGTATTTTTAAAATCTTCATACATTTTAGGTGTGCAGGGGGGATGCCTTCCCACCACCAACCCCATAACCCCCAAATACGTCATTTGGTTAGGTTTGAAATAATATTGAAATAATTCCTCAATTTATTTTTGCACCTTGAACTCTCTCCTTACGTACATGTATATGAGCAGGGTCATTTTCAAAACAAACAGCGATCATAAGCTCCACATGCCTGGAACTGGAAACTTAACTGCTATCAAATCTAGTTAATCATGAGAAAAATTGCGTCCTAGAATAACGATTTTGTTTAATTTTGTAAAATTAAATGGTTTTAGAAGAACATGTATACACTGGGTATTAATAGATATCGGGTATTTTATTGTCATTTAACAAATTTTATCAGAACTTTGAATGAAATCAATATGTCATTTTTTTTATATTAATATCAAATAGATTTTTCTAAGAAATAAATAATAAATAATTTATATATATATTGTCATTATGAATCAATGACATGCAGATTAATTAATAGAATTTTTTCGGCTGGGGGGGGGGGGGTAAAAATTAATTGAAAGTTTTATATATCCAGTCAGTTAAATGCGACTGGTTCATAATATTCCTTGACTGGCTGAGTTTTTAAATGACAAATTTTATACGATGTGGCACACATTTAGGTACATGTAAATATTGTTATGTGATGGTGTATGTAGAATCCCCCCTCCCCATTTCTCGCGGCTTCTTTATCGTTTGAAATTCTAATGTTATTGTTTTCAAATGTTATTGTATATGAAGTTTTACAATATAAAAATTCCATTCTGGCCCCATGCCAGAGACTTGGATATGCTTATCCTTGTAAAGCTTTACAGATACACTGTAAAGTAGTTAGGTCCCGGTAATATAAAATGACCCTGGCCCTCTTCCCCGGTCTCCTGCACTGCCACAAAAATTAAAAACTTGCAAACATAGTCTTTTGTGCAGTGCATGTTTAAATACAATTTGATCTAAACAAGATTTATTTCAATAAATCCAAATAACATAATCAGCCCGTTTACATAATTCAACGGCAAGTTAAGCTATATCATACTAAACTGATAACTGAGATTATTATTTCAATAAGAAAACGGGTTTTAGATTGATAATAGAACTGTAATGACATACAATGCTGAGATTCTATGAAAGACAAGCATTATATATATTTGACTTTTAAGCGACTAAAAACTGCAGATAAAGCTAAAACCTTTGAACTTTTTTATGCACAACACGAGTACCAAAATGTTATATTTTCGAGTTACTGAAAATAAATAGACAGCAAAAGAGAAAAAAAAAGATAGAGATTTCTTTTCATAATACGATATTGTTGTGTTTTTGAAAATTCGCCTTTTCATTAAAGTTTCACATTTCACATTGTATTAATAAACTGGATTTAAGGACATATGCAACGTACTTTACCTACTGATAATTTTTCAAGATATACTTAATTTAAGATCATAGTGCTATCAGATGTTCGTAGACAAAAAATCAGCATGCATTACAAGGGGTTTTGAAAAGATATCAATTTTTTAAAATAGTTGTAAAATTCAAAGAAAAATATACAAAAATTACTAAACATATATTCTAGATGTTTTGTTTATCCAAACTTGTTTTAGAAGTGTAAAACAGCATATATATACATTAAAATGTAGCACACAGTTCCTTTAATTTTTGGAACTCTTCGACTCCAGGGAAAAAGACAATAAAGTACAAACTACGTTGCATATGTCCTTAATGTAACATCTCTCTCTCCTTCTCTCACACACACATCAGGTATACATACATGTAAACTTTTTTTAAGCTAGAACAATTAGAACAATTTTATTTCATTTGGTAATTTTTGTTTGTTTTCAAGTACTTACATCGGAAGTGGCAACAACAAAAATAAGATGAAACAATCTTTTTTTAAATTTCATTTTATTTTATTTAACTTTATGATCATTATTACTGAAAAAAAATTAAAATTCAAGCTATTCTAAAAAATGATTTCATGTTAAAACAAATAGATGCACATGTAACAGATTTAAAAAATAAATGAAAGTCTGGTTCAATGTAGCAATGCATATCTATTTCTTATTCTACATTTTTGTTCTCTTTCACTTTGACAGAAGCTAGTTCCATGAGCTTTCAAAAATACTTTTAAAGAAAATATAAATATAATACTTACAATTAAAACGTTTTTTTAACTGATGATAAGTAGATTTTTAAAAATATTTTTTATACTACGGGAGCAAATTTTTATGAGTATGTTGATTTTGAATGATGTTAAAAAAAAAGAAGAGAAAGTCCCTCTCTGGTACCTCTCTAGTCGCTTGTCAGAGTTACCTCTCTTGTTTTTATTTATAGTTCTTAAAAATAATATCACGTCTGTCATTCGTTCGTACTTTTGCTAGATTTGTGAAAACTTACAAGAATACTTTTCTTTTCTGTTGGAAGAAGTGTGATCAGTTTCAAGTTTTTGGCAATTAAAGCATTTTACAACAAAAATTTACGCACGATGTAGCGGATGTACCAATCCAATGCTTCAATGTTTACATGATCGATGTGTTGAGAATGGTGGGGCGGATCTTATACAGGAAAACGATTTCCTCTGCAATATTTTGATAATATACCCGTGTCTAACAAATAACTTCAGTTTGTCTATATATCAAAATCGCATTCGTTCATCCATATTCAATTATCCTGAAAATCACCTTGTCTGAAGCTTCTATACATGTATAGGAAATACAATGTACGTACATAGCCCAGATCAGAGACGTATAAAGCTACAATAACATGTAGTAAAGAAATGGGTATCGAATAAAATTCTAAATATTTTAATTAATATCAGTAGACTACAAAATCAAGACGTGAATTAAAGATATAAATGAAAATAAATAATTATTTCAATGTTGAGAACAACGACAAAAGTGAGCTAGACGTGTCAAAACGTAAAACACGTGGATAAAAAAATCTGCGTCGACGCTCACCGTCTGCAACGTCATATCTTTATGACGTTATTTCTCTGTTTTAGCAAAATTGCCATAAGGCCCTTTTGTCATGGGCGCAATCAAATATGAATTGATGTTACATACCATCCATATTCCAGTAATTTCGCTCGAACATACATAAAGGTAACTGGACTGGTGCTAGCCTTTCCCATTCCAACAGTTTGACAATGAGCAAGGGACTCAGGTAAATTGGCCTGAGCATCAAAAACTTCATATGTTAACTTTTTGATGTTTCCAAAGTAACCTGAAATACAATATATATTTTTTAGAATTAATCTTGTCTGACCAGTTCTATAATATAAAAATAACTCGTGTTGAAGAAAGAGACTGTAAATTGTGACAAGAAACATTTAGATTAATGATTTTGAAATCTGGAACTACTAGTATGTGTTGATAATTTCTTATTTTGTATTTAATAGTAGATAATATCTGAAGTTCTATTTCAATATAATGCACAAATGTTATTTTGTTACGCTTTTGTGTTCTTTTCTGTTTCAATACTTATTTTTCCCAATTTCTAGTTTTTGTTGGGTTTTTTTAAAATTACATAATATGTATTTAATAAATAACTTAATTTCACAAGTTAATTGGATATTTACAATTTAAACTGGTCTTAAGCAATTATGCTGTAGTACTCCTATTCCTAGATAAAATAAATACTTTACAAGAGATTGTTTACCTTCGACTGTGATTGTCTGCATTAAACACTCCGGGATATAACCTATTATGAGAAAATTTTAAATGATATACATTTATCACATTGTTATGCATAGTCTTATACATATACATGCTCGCAATTTCATCTGGTAACATTCTGTGTTTCATCCCTAAGATGTATATACCTGTATTGTTACAGTAAATTTTGAAGATAAGTATTATATTTCAATTGTTGTTTCATATCCTTTAATGAGAGAGAACATAAAAGCAGTCTCCATTGAATTGATCAGAAAATGCTTTCATCAGACTTCCAGATATTAGCAAAGATAAAATTTACATGAAAATTGTTATTCTTAGAATATGATCATGTGATATTTGAAGAAAAATAGTCAGTACTCACACAGGGTGATGAGGCACAAAATAAAAACTGGAGCTTTAACCATGCCTCTAGTGTATCTACTGGATTATCTGAAATTATTTTATTTCATTAAATTTTAATAAGCTTATACATTTAAATGCGGATCGAAGAATCTTAAACATGCAATTCCACAGAAATATTTTTTCATTTACTTATATTGTGTTTTTTTTTTTAAATCATGTTCAACGAGTCAAAACGTTTCGAGCCTACCTGAGTATTATATTTATCCATATATGGTTTACTGTGAACCTAAAAAAATATAGAGATCACTTCATTTGTATGCTAGTAAATTTCTATCATCTTGGTTTCAGGTTAAAAAAAAAACTAGTGTCAGAAGTGTTTTCTATACTTTAAAAACGTTTTCAGATCTAATTTTGAGGAGATATTAACTGAAAAATGACATGATCCAAGATAAAACACATTATCATGCTTTTGTGCAATTATAAAAAAAAATAACAGTGCATCTTACATATATGGTTGAAGAAAATTATATTAAAATATATTAATTATGATACTATTCAAACCTTTTATATTTACTTTTTTCTTTAAAAAACATAAATAAATAAATTTTATTAGTTTTGTAAAATATGAAAAACACTCTAAAGGTTCTCTCGTTGAAACAGCTTATCTGTGCTCAAGAATAATAAGCAAATCGATTAGACAAATGTAGGGATTGTGTCATAATTTACAATTTAATGTACTGTATTATCTTGCATGTATTGATAAATGAAGCATTAAATTCTTTTTCAAGTACATGTAATTACAGTATATGCTTTTTCCAAGAACTCAGCTGTGATTTTATATTTACGCTCAATTCTTTTTAAAAAAGAAGGAATATTGAAGAACCACATATTCTAATGATTACGAGCATAGTTCTAAAATGGTTCAGAATATCATTTTCTGTGAAAATATGATGTATTGCATTTTGTTTCACGTCCTATTTAAGATTTTTCCCCTCATATAGAGACGCCATCACATACCGATGAAGGGCTTTAAATTTAGACCTTTACTCGGCACTCGGGGCCATTGGGCAGTGAGAGTTCTTTATCGAGCCAACGCCTACCGTGACACAGAACCTCAATTTTTAAGGTCTCATCCGAATGACTCGTGATTTTTACTTCTAATGCCGAGCGCTGGGCGAAGGAACGGTCACCAATTATGTTTATGTCTTAGATCTGACGCAAGAGAAAGAGAATCGAACCCGGGCCTCCCTATCACGAAGCGAACGCCGTACCACTAGGCTACCTTAACCGTGAGCATAATTGGAACAATAACATATAGTCTGAACAAACATTGACAATTCCGTTTTTATTTAATCGTTTAATTTTTTTTTTTCCAAATATTATTTTCAATAAATTCATTCATTAATTTGTTTGTTTATTGAGAGCTTAATTTTGTTAACTTTAATTCAGTGCAAATGGAAACTTTAAGAACGGGATTATTTTGAATAATCCCAAACTAAGGACACGTCATAAAATCAATCTTTCAAAAAACCTTTACACGTCATAAAACTTTCATTTCCGACTTAAAATGCATGTGATGCAAAAGCATAGGTAAAGAAAGTGCCACCACGACCACCCAATCCTTGTCATGATGCTCTTTGTGGCAAATATGCAAATTTTACTGATAAATTTATTAACACACTTACTAATAGTCTTTCGATATGTATATACTAGTATATTCTCTACTTATCATGCTTATAGTGTTATCAATTGCTTCACCATTATTTCCATGCCCATTCAAATCAAATCAATTTTTTTTTCATTATTTTCATGTATATGTTAAAACATTGACGTTCTAGAAATTATCATTTTGTTTTTTTTTTAATCAGTTATTACAACTTATTTCGTTTTTATCACTTAAACCAAGTTTTGATTGTGTAATTCACTAACGACGTTTAATACTACTAATCAAACGATTGTTTGTTGTCAGTTTCATTAAAAATTTCCAGTAAATTTAGATCCGCCAACCGTAACCACCACCTTACTCTCTCTTTTGCTATTTGACGGCTGCTTATCGAAAACGAAAGTAGACTTTTTATTAACTACACGAGTGAAATCTAAATATAGTTTACAGACATTATTTCATTCCTAGCGTAATATAAGAGTAATAAATATGAACGCTAGTGCATGCGTTTCGGGATTTATACGCAAAATTTATTAATTTATATAAGTATAGATTATATCTAAAAAATCTATTTCAAATATTTCATCACCAACACCTATATTTTTATTGTATTAAAGAAAAAGTTATCGCTGTAAATTATATCACTTTAAAAGAATGTCATGATGTTCGAAATATCGACATGATGCATCAATTTTATAGAATTCTTGTTAATTAAATAAAAACGAACTTAGTTAATCTTGTAAGTACAATTCTTATAATTCAATAGATTTGTGAGCAAAAATACGTCTATTTTGAAATATATGTATTGAAATGAATGTTATGTCTTATTCATCAAGCAGACTCTTTTTTCCTTGCACTCTTATTTGCAAGTCGACTACAGAGAAATTGAATAATACAGTAACTTTCATCACGGGCAACTTGTAATTCAGCTTTAGAAATCAATGACATTTTCCTCATTGCAACATATTTAATTGTTATTTTATTCTTCTAAGTATCATGCTTATTTATTCGGATTTATATAATTTGACAGTTTACAACTTTGTTGTTCACAGATCGAGTTTGATCTGCAAAATGAAATTATTAATTATATTTATCTTCTTATCACAAAATGATATTTTCAGTATCAAAAGGATGTGCAATTGTTATTTTCATTATCATTCAGCAAACAACCCGTCGTGCAAAATAGATATTTCGATTACCATCAGGCATTGGAACATCAAGATTTTCTAAAGCCTAGCACTTTAATGTGTTCCTAAATTATTTTCCAGATGAATAACATTGCACGTGGATGGTGACACATATTTGCAATAATATTACTACTTATAAGAGTACAGCAGACTGCGTCACTAGAATGGATTATATTTACTGATAATACTATTTACAAAATTCTGATCAATAAAGAGCAAAATATTGAAATACAAAGCATTATCTATCCTTATTTGCTTGATTATTTGGTCTGTAAGCCAAATTTACCTGAATCAAAGAAAATCAATCTAATCTGACTATAGATTGGCATTCATGTTTCAGAACGGATACACCGACAGAAGGATAAATTGACATTGAGTATAAAACCCAGAGAAACAAAGGGAAGGGTTGTCGGTTATATCATACGTATACCAAATTGTAGTTGGTATCGTTGTATTGTGAATTTCTCTGTTCTTTCTATATTAATATCTTTTCACTTAGGGCAGCTATGTTATTTTTGGAGTTTATTTTAAATGCACTTTAAACAAATAAGAATATCAATGAATATCGGTAACGACCCTCTAATAAAACTTTTGTTCAGATGGCTATATCTCATTTTCAATGACAGTGTAGTGTGAGACGGAATTTAATCGAAAGTTACTTTTTAACTTGCCTAGTTGGCCGATCGGTCTAGCACGCTGTCCCTGCACTGATAGGAAACAAGTTCAGCAGGTCAAGAGTTTAACACCGGATACAACTATTCCCCACGATAAATTAAAGACCAGTCTTTTTGATATCATAGACAACTTCTTCTTCAATAAAAATTGAACACGTAAATTTGCATACCTTGTCACTGGTCATCTGCAAACTTATCTCGTTAAAAAATATTCTGACTCCACACACAAGTACTCCGATGTTGATATTGAAAAGATGCTTGGGTTTCTCGTTGACAATATCTATGTAATCTTTGGAGTCCAGATCTTCCAACAATCTGTTGAAATTCTCATGGGTACTCATTGTGCCCCTTTATTTTGTGTTCTTATATAGCAGAATTTATTCAAAAACTTCGGTCGCCCGCGTGGCGCAGGGGTTAGAGAGTCTGCTCTAGAGTCGCAAAGTAAGGAGTTGATCCTTACGTCTCGGGTTCGAATCCCAGTGTGGGACGTGGAGACCGGTCCTTCGGATGAGACGTATAAACCGAGGTCCCGTGTCGCAGTAGGTGTTGGCACGAAAAAGATCCCTCACTGCTCGATGGCCCTAAGAGCCGAGTATAGGACAAAATTTGCAGCTCTCCATCGGTAAGTGGTGGCGTCTCCATATCATGAGTGAAAAATTCTCGAGAGGTACGTTAAACAACAAAAAAACAAACAAAAACTTAGACATGATCCATGTCGAAATTTGAAACAATTTGAAATTGTTAGGCCATTATTTGGACACTGAATTATATCTACGGATTTTTCCGTGTACCCATTCATGACAAGGGGCACACAGGGGTGTGACTGGTCGACAGGGTATGCTCACGCCTCCATGACACCTGACTCTGACCCAACTCCCTTTGGTTTCAGAGGCCCGTTTTTGCTCTTCTCACAGTATCCATTGTTCAGTTGGACTTTTGAGCATGAATACTGTTCGTTATCTTCATATTTCATTCCATTAGTTACAGAACCTAAATTTTAAATATATAAAATAGAAATGTACATTGCGTATTAAGCATTATTGATACGTTTTTAATGTGTCTCTCAATTTATTTCCTTCTGATATTTGATAAGATAGTCCTGTTAATTTTTTATATTTGCTTGTGAATTTTTTCTTCATTTTTATACAATTTTTAAATGCTCTTCACAAAAAGAAGTTTGCGAAAATAAATAACGACATTAATAAAAGTAAAAGAATTATCAGAAAATAAGGGCTTAATTCAACACTTAATTCAGCATTATAATCTGCATTCGATTATAAAACAAATCTTCAGTATGCTCTACCATTAAACATTCATAAGTATGAAAGAACTCATTTAAAATAGCTAACTACCATATCTTAAGAATACTCACATCTATCTTTCACTTTCTAATTACAAATTGTCAAATCCAGCACAAATAAGAAAGATAGAATGTTAATCTGAGACTATTTCTTCTAAATTAAGGATTACTTTTTCCCGTCACACACTTTTATCATTCATTTTGGTTTGTGAGCATAATATTCAAATTGGGTGCACATTACCCGTGTGATTTTTTTTTATGTATATTTTTGCTCTATGGCACGATTTAAAGGCAATGTTTAATTGTCAGTGTTTATCTTGCTTTCAAAGCTACTTTCGTGACAATGAGAGACTTGCATCAGAGGAAGTTAATGATTGCTCTTTGCTAAAATTAATTTTATCATTAAAAGGTATAGATTTTATTTAGCACCATCATGTAGTTACTATAGCTTTTTAAATGTAT